GGAGCACTTTGTGGAGCCACTCAGCAGCGGAGTTCGGCGCCAGCACGAAGTTGGCTTTAATGACAGCCCAAGCAAAAGTGTTGTGGGTTGAGTTGGGTATGCCATGCTAGCCAGAAAACTGAACCGAACTGAACTGAACTGAACTGAAAAGACTGTTGCGCGAAGGGGAAATAGAATGCCAGATGTCTCCGTTTTGCCAAGGGGAAAAAATTCCCCGGCGTGTTCTAAAGCCCGAGCAACAGTTTGTTGGCGGCCATATCAGGGTCAGTCTTCAACCAGTCGCGTATCAATGGCCAAAAATATTTACATACGCCGCGCTGGACACATCGAACTGAAAAGCAGCTCTTGCCACTTTGTCAATGTCAAATGTTCTGGTGGCTGGCGGGTTTTGGGCTGAATTCCTCCTTTTTCTGCCTTTGTTTTTGTCATGGCCGATGGGCCGCGTGGGCTGAGGAAGGCAACTAGTGGTTCTCATATTTCCACAGTAACAAATTTGTTTACGCTTAATTGGTCTACGCTTACATCGTATCAGCAGCACATGGTCACCAGCAAAAGTGCCCAGTCCCAACCTCCCACACATTTTGATGTGGACAGCACAAAGCGGCGCATTGTTTGGAAATTGACTCGTCGCTGCCCCAAAAAGTATGCTACGCTTTTGTCACTGCACAATCTCTGGAATTCCATGCAAAGTTGGTATTCTGCAACTCGAGTTTATCAAGCGGAAATTTATAAAATGTTCCAGTAAAACATTTTCTCATTTTTTTGTTACAGTTTTGCTTATTGACATATAAATTTAATTATGATTACTAATTGCAACTCAGTAAGAACTACTTAAAATGCTGAAGTACATTTTCATCTGTGAGTTTAAACATCTGTTAGCGAAAACTATTCCTTTTTTCTCTCATATCATATCAGATATGAATAGTAGTTATCTGCAGCTAAAGTGGCTGGTTTTATTTGCAATGGATAAGCTGAGTAATGTTCTTGCCTTGAATATCTATCAAACGAGATGCCCCATCGATTGCCAGGCCCCATTGTACAGTTGATATGATATATATTTGCATGATTTACTTGCGCCACTTCCATTAGGAATCGGGTCGAGACCGGGATCATGTTGTAAAAATGGTCCACGGAGATTTGTGGACCACATGCGAGTGTCATATTCGGCCATGTTCATGGGTTTGAGTGCGTGTGTGTCTGGGCTGTAAATCAGGATGGGGAGAGCAGACAATGGCCAAGGCCATTTGGCATTCACTAAACAGCACAAAGGTGAGCATCTCGACGGTGTCATAAAAAACAGTTCACACATGGGTTCTGGCCCATTTCGCAGGCCATTTTTATAAGGCCAGTGACGGCAATTCATTGAGCGTAACATAAAATCCATATACGTATGTATAAAGCGAAGGTGAAGCAGCAGTAAGTCAATTAATCTAATTGCAGGAGGACACTTCTGCACACGAGAACATTCTCCACAACATCCATCCAGTTGGCTAAAGCAAAGGTCAAGCGAATCCAATTCGATGCAATTAAATTAAATCTCTAAATGTGAGCTAATGAGCACCACCACTTGAGTTGCGGTCAAAAGGATCCGGGGATGTGGGGGTGTTAATTAAAAGCGCAGTTCGCCCGATTGATCGTCTGCTGCAGTTCCATTCGTATGTGTATCCATACCCCGTCTATATGCCCCAATCGGTGGCTAATCAAGGGGATTTCATTATCGCAGCTCACACTTCAAATCGAAACCAAATTATTTATAGCAAATGCTCAGTGTAATGGCAACCGGAAGGTAGCAACAGGAAATGAAGATGGCAGACGACAGCGCAACTCCTAACAAGCTCACCTACACACACACACGCACACACACACAGAGGCACGAACTCACACCAGCACACATGAACCCCAGGACGATTTTCCCCCTGGGTGTGAGAACGCGCTTCCCTTTCCGCTACTGTATTGGTGTGTGCTTAAGGATTTCTCGCATCAAGGCGAACTGTTGCGTTTTTTATACCCTCACCAATAGATCCAGGACTTTTGATTCGCTTTCCAGGGCTAAAAGCTTTTACGCAGTCATCGCAGATTAAAAAACACATATTTTATACACCTAGGAAATCAGCAAATGAGTGAGATGGAAATCGCATTAAATAAACTGGACTTTAATACAAAGTCGTAGAATGGAGTGGCAGCTTTATAACAAGCATAAACAAAGTGCTATGTTACTTAAATATAATATGTAAGAAAACTTTGTGATGGATCTGGATAACTTTATTTTAAGGCTAACAATACATAAGACACTAATAATTTACTATGTGGGTTACACCTCCTAAAGAAGAATATCTCAATTATTTGATTGCCTTGAATATAAAAACTGCCAAACTGTAAATATTAATAAAGCAAAAAACATAATACTAGTTGACTCTTTGAAGTCAAAAGATAGCACCGCATTTTTGTGCAGATCAATACCTTTGTAAGCGGCAGCTGCCCTGTAAACAAACATGCTTTCCCCACGTGACGTCTGCCAGCCATTTTTAACCCAAAAAAGGAAATACTTTTCAGGGATATACCGAGCTTGAGCCAACAGATTGGGTTCTAGTAGTTGGTTCTGCTATATCCAGTCCAGATTTGGTGCTGGCCCCTCCTCCGCCCATAGACAAACTCATTACGAAAAATGAGCGTCCTGCGGCGCGCAAACAAAGCAAGGACCAAGCCCCCGGCCAGCTAAAGTGTGTGTGATTGTGTTTGGTGTGTGTGTGCTGTGCGGTGTGTGTCCTGTGTGCCCTGCTTGTTGCTTGTTTATGCCAAAAATCATACACACCGCCCACATATCGATTTTGTTTGATGTTTAGGCTGGGCCCAGGACTATACGGCTGCTATACAGATATGCGAAGTGGATAGTCCTGGCTTCCAGGACCCTCGGGCACCAACAAAGCACCAAAAAAAAAAAACAAAGGCATACACACCTCATCATTATTTCCGTTTGTGTACTCGTTTCCGTGCCTACATTACGGCGACGCGTCGCGTATTTTAAATATTTAAAGACCATAAATGCCGTAAACCTTCGGGCCACCCTCGCCAATTTTTAGAGGGTGCCGCCGGAAGTGGAATTCGTTGGTAGCCAAAAATTTCAGGCGAAACGGAATTAGTAGATAATGATACAGTAGGAATTTGAATTCGGTTTCCTGTCTGACTCTCTTAGGGAAATGAATGTTTACAAGAAAAAGGCAAATCGCATCGTTAATGATTGCCAGGCCATTCTCAAGTGTATTTATGGATCTAGGCCGAAGGCGGCCCTAAAATAAATTTATTAAATAAATAGCAAAACATTACAATCCCTTAAAGATAGATATCGATATAAAACACAAAAGCTTTTTGATATTTATAAATTCCAGAAATATTAATGTAGCTCAAATAGAATAGCTAATGCAGTAATTATAATGAATTATAAATAGCAAACTTAAATAACCAAGGTTTCAGATTGGGGTAAATTACCTTTTAATTTGTAAACAGCTCCCCCAAAAGTTATGTGCACTTAAATTACGACCAATAACCCTTCAAAAATGTACAAGTATAATAGCCACTTTTCTGGCAGTTACCGACTTAAATGATCAGTTATGCCTGAAGTCTTTAAGCCATTCGTTTAATGACTTCGATAATTTGGCCAACAGACCTTACACCCTGTTTTTTGAGGCATTTCGTAAGCTTTCACTTTAAGCCAGCGTTTTGATACAGTTTTTACGGGCTGTTTGCTCGTTTTTTATGCCGAAACAATTGAGTTTGTTTGCCATCCAGAGGGCAAATCGGGTTCGCTCGCAGTTGCGCTTGACCCGCTTATTGGGACTGTTGGCCAGGCCCTGATTGTTGGCCTTTGTGCTCCTGGGCAAACTGTATCCGCGGCCAGTTAATTAGCTGCCAGGGATCGTCCCTCTCGCGGGACTTCATCAGGCGACAACCTCGGCGCAAAAAAAGCGAGGCAGATTCCTCAAATTACTTTTGAAAAAAAGGGTGGCATTGGAAGGGGATAACCTTCAGTTCCCGGTTTTATCGTAAACAACTCACTTTTCGAAAAGCATTTGAACTTTAAATTTATTTGCGTTTCAATAAATAATTGTTAATTTCATTTATTAATGTAATTAACAGTTTATAAACTTAAAAATTAAATACTGCAAATAATTTACCTATAAGAATTAAACCAATATTTATTTGGGCAAATAAATAAAGAAATAGCTGCATAGCTACATTTCGAACTAAATCGTATAAGCCGATGCATCCGAATTGTTTTTCGGTGCAGTCATGCAGGACTGGCTTTGTGTCTGCTCACTTTTATTTCAAACGGCAATTGCATTGTGCCATTCCCAATCCGCTTATGGCCACTGCCACGCCCCCAGGACCACCTAGACCGCCCATGACGCCCCCGGGAGCAAACAATGCACTCAGCAGCAAAACAAGAGCAGCAACACCAGGACCAGAAAAGTCCGTCCCTTTTCCCTGGTAAGTGCTATGCGTATGATAAAAGCTTGTGTCATATTTTCATTTTTCACCCAGTTTTCCCTTGCTGCATTTGCTGTGGCGGATTTAACATCTGAGGAGTTTTCCAGCCAGCCCGCATGGCTTGCTTAATGCCAAGCACTCGACGACGCAAAACCGTGCTTACTTATAAAAACCAGAGTACTTTCATTAGCTTACCGCCAACGGACCTTCCCGCCAGCAAGGTCGGCATCACATCCAGTTTATTTCGCCCACCATGGAGCACCATGATGCGTCTCCACTCCTCCAGCCGACTCCAACCTGCTTGGGGTAAACTCAACAACCTGCTTGGGGTAAAGCTCAGGAAAAATCCGCAATGAAATGGTTCTAAAACGGAGAAAGTTTCCCCTGCGAAAAGCTCTCGAAACGGAAATTTGGCCTTGGCATAGGAATTGACGCAGCATTCACCTTGTGTAATGAACTCAAATATTATTTAAAACTAATTAGTTGCAACACACACGGTATTGACATTGAAGTGCTTGTGTATGGTTTCTATTAAACTAATTAATTTGCTCTTTATTCCATACATACATATATATATAATTTGTTTGCCTGTTCGTTGGATTTTTGTTATGCTTTATACAGTTTGCCGCAGCAATATTTTGCATTTTTACAAATTTATATTCGGTCGTAAATATAAACAGAAAATAGCTCTGAGGATAGTTAAAATATAACTAGATGATCGTTTTTTGATATTTCTTTTTTCCGGGTAGATCTTGTCTTTTTCCTAAACGCTACGAGTATTGGTTGTCCGCTTGAAGTATAATACTTGGACAGAGCTTCTTCGCTTCTCTGCTGCATGATCAACTTTAAACTTAGTCGCTAAACACATTGTATGCCAAAACAATTGCGTTGGAGTTAACAATTTATATCGAAAGCGAACCGAGTGGGTACTTAGCTTAGGTATACACTTAATTCGTACTAAGGCATGTTATATGTTGGGCTCGAAACAACAACATCAACGGTTGTGTAATTTATAATATCGCAAGGGGTTTATACAAAGTCAAGTTAGGTCAAATAAATAAAGAGGCAGCAGTAGCTAAATTAATGCTAACAGTAACATTAAAGTAACGTAACGTAAACGTAAAGCCAACTGAACAGTATCCCGCCCCAGATTGGGCTTGGGTTTAGGTTTGGGTTCGAGGATCACGCTGAGGCCGTAACCCACACTACTCGGCATCCAGCGAGAGACAAGGCAGTCCGGCCAGCGCCGGATGTGTTGACTGCTGGGAGGAGCGATGCCGCTGCGGCATGGGCTGACCATTCTCGCGGTACGTCTTCAGCTTCGTCTCCATGGCCTGAAAAATATACAAAACGAGAGAGTGTTAAGCAACAGTAAGTAAAATGTTTCAAAAATACACTATAGAAAGGCCTACGAACACCAAATAATAAATACATAACTTAATTGCAAAGTGGTCCTTAAATTTGGTTATCAGAAATCCAACTCTTCGCGAGTACTTGAAATTACATATCCTAGACTCGGCTTTCAAAACTGAATTGCACTTAAGATATGTGCCATCTTAATCGGAATGCAAGTGTTTAACGAACAAAAACAAAGAACATAAAATAAGGTACAAATAAGTATTGTATTTATTAACCAATGCAATTAATAAATGCAAGCGGAGGGCAACTAAAATTAGCCTTATAGTTCGGAGCGCATTGTCAAAGCGGCAGGCTGGCGTCCGGCGAGTTGCGCACGCGCTCGGCGAAGCGCCTGAAAATGTTTGAGCCCGCACTGAGGCTTCCGGAGGAACTGCAATCGCTGGCGGGCGTGGACTGGGCGCTACTGGTGGCCACTGAGCTGCTGCTGCCGCCAAAGGCGCGGCGAAAGAGACTCGATTCGCTGGCCGATGGCGGCGGCTGCAGAGTTGCCGGGCGCTCACAAATGCAGCGAAACTTTTCGCACTCGGGACATAGCAGTGCCTTGTCCCACTAAAAACATACGGAAAAACACATAAGCTGATGTGACGGTGTGAGGGTGTGAGGGTTCAAGGAAAGTACAGACAAAACAAAGGGATGTGGAAAGATGGCATGCTGGACTTATAGTTCTCGGAGGGACTTACGTTTAGTTTTCTTAACATGTCGGCCACAATGTTGAGCGCCGTTGTGCGGGAGCTGGGGTTCATGGAATTGCCATTGATTTGGTTCTCGGGATCTGCAAGAGGAAGCACACATACACAGCATGTTAGTCGAGAGGTTAGTTAGGTCAACTACTAGCTACATACGCAAACACAAAACGTAAAAAAATAGCCTACAAGAAATGTTGCAAACTCTTTCGTCACATTTGGGCTCTTAATTTTAATAATTTACAATACAATTACAAATAATGAGGTACTTAAATGGGCTATCTTCGTGACAAACAAATAAAAAGAAACAAATGAAAAAAAAAATTAAATGCAAGGCTTGAATGTTTGGCGATTCGACTTGGACAGTTTTAGCACACGTCTGGTTTTCTTTAGGGAACTGAGTATCTTACTTTTAAGCGAATGCTGCTGGTTATATTCGTTTCTATTAACTAAACTGCCATTGAGGGCGTTGACGCTGACGCTGGTGGCTCTTGTGGCGACAGTATTGTCGTGGTTTACCAGTTCCCCGTTGGCCATAATACCATTTGGCAGCGAGGCGGACGAGTTCATCGAGCTGTTGACTGTATTTGTGTCGTTTGCCGTGGGAATGCTCGTTCCGTTGACCACTGGGGTGAAGCGTGACTTGACGTTCAGCTCTTGCTTGAGATCTGCAATACAGTTGATGAATTAGTTTGAATTAGTCTGTACTACCTAGAAGCACCCACCTCTCGTCTCATCCATCAACCGCTGCAGTTTTTCCTGCAGCAATCCCTTTTCATCCACTTCCAGCTCTAGAAGGGCGTTCTTTTCGTAGGCCTGATCCAGCATTTTCTCGAAATTCTCTATGCTTTCATTGAGTATGCGATGGGCACGCTCCAAATCGTCATTTTTCTGCTCCAGCTGCCGCAGGTGCACCTTCATGGTGTCGCGATCCTTCTTCACTGTTTCCAGCTGCTTCTCCATGTTTGACATTTCGATGCCATGCGACTCCAACTTGACCTGAGGATAGAATGGATAAAAAGAATGATCTTGTGAGGAGTTCAAAGCGCTATTTACGCAATCTGAGTTTACAACAAAGTTTTCTTTTCAGTAAATCAATCTAAACTGATACACTCTTAAATAAAATTGAAAAAGAGGCTTGAAATTAAAATACAGAGAATTACAACATATAAAACTAAGTCAAATTCATAGCTTTCATAAAACATAGTTTTAAGCTCAGTAAGTGTAAATCGGGATTAGGTTATAGCCACCTTGAGAGACTCGTTTTCGCGCTCAAACATTGTTAGTTTGGCTGTGAGATCTTTGATTATACTCTGCTTCTGGTCCAGAGTGGCGTCCATTTCTATTTCCATTTCGCGGGACTGCTCCACGAACTCGTCGTACTCCTGTTTCACGTCTGTCCATCTGAAAATGATAAGTAGAACTGGGCTATATGACTGATTTCAGAGATTTTAATATGGATTTGGGGACTTACTCTTTGTGGTACTGCTTGGATCGTTCCTTCCAATATCTGCACTCATCTTCCACACTATTGAACATTGGTGGCGACTCCATTTCTAGGAATTTTCTTGGCTGCTGACTCTTTTTTGTGATTTGTGTACTAGTAGGTGGTCAAACTGGGTTTGAAATTTCGTTCGTTCGAATTGATTTAACTTTTAATTTCTACACAATACTAGGTACTACGGTTGGTCTATTCCTGCATGGGTAATTATTCGTGTTTTTAAGCTGCTTTTTTTTAATTGCTGTGATTAAAATGCCAAAACACAGTTGTTGTTCTAGTCGAAGTTTTGTTTTTTGTAGTTTCGTGTTGGGTGGTGAATAGTCTATAAATCGGCAGAAAAGTGAAAAATCAATTAGAAACAGGTGTTTGCCCTGATTTTCTTGTTGCTGTTGTTCTTGTTCTTGTTCAATGCCCTAAAATGGCAGTCGGTTCTGTCCATATAAAATGTAAATAAAATCAAATCAAACAGAATTCATTTTTGTGACGCAGCTGCTGCGGCAACAACAACGAAAACAACGAGGATGATGATGATGAGCAGCAACAACAACAACAAATAGCTACGACGAAGTTTCCCATACAACAACGCACTGCATGGAAATGAAATCATCGGCGATTTTCTCGTGGAATTCCAGTGTCTATACCTGGAATTACATGTGGCCCGACCAACCACGTGTTCTACTTACACTTTGCACTTAATTTTGCTACGTTTTGTTTGTTTTATTTACATAAAATCAGTGTAAATAGTTATGCTCGTAAAAATTTACCACTACTCCAAAAACGCACTAGCCAACCCTGGCTTGGGTAGCCAGTGTTGGATAATAACTGGGCATTTGGCTTTGACAGCCCTGGCCAACAGTTGTTATTTGAAAATTAATCAACATATAAAGTTTTATTCGGCTTCTTTCTGCGCTTACGTAATTTTCGTATATATTCCAAATCATATTTCTCTAATGGACGTGCCGTAAATGTTATGGATTTGTTGGCCGGCTCATCGCTGCTTGTATCGTTCGAAATGTGAAACTCCGAATCAGAACTGTCTTCAATTATTTGAGCTGAGCTTAGAGTTATATCACGAGAGGAGCTGGGAGTTTGCACCAGTGTTACAGCATTTTCGCCAACTACGCGCATGGGTAGCGCTTGATAATGATATGAAACATTTCGAGACGATCTGCGACGTAATTTGTGTTTCCTGCTAGTTTCAAAGTCACTGGAACTTGTGGATGTGTTATTGTTGCTACTGCTAGAACCTTCTTCGCTGTCAAAATCTTTACTGCCTATTTTATTGCAGTTCCTTATGCTTTTAGACATAATTGTTATAAACTGAGGCGGAATTGTTTTGATTCCGGCAATGAACAATGTTTTGGTGAACTGGTTTTGTACCTACACCGAAGTGGCAACTTCCTGGCAGGGTCAAAACCGCGTTGCCAGATAGCCAGCCAGAGTGTGGCCAGATCGCAGCGACGGTAGTGCATTTTCAACAAAAATAAGGTAAAAGATAGCACAAATATGGCCAGCAATTGTTAAACAATTATCACAATTGCCTGTATAATAACCAAATGTCAACTGTGTGAGTGCAAGAAACGAGTTCGCGTGGGCGTTGCACATGCAGCAGCATTGAATTGATTAATTGCGGCGCATGCCGAAAAGGGAAAAAAGGGAGGAAGTGTTTCAATAAGCGAGTGAAAACCGCGACGAAGGAAAAAAAAACCAACTGCTGCGGCAATTGTGAACAAAGAACTCGTTGCGTCCGAAATTATGTGGCATAGTAACTAAGCTATTGGATTTTCCACTCATTTTCCAGTTGAAATCAACGCGCTCAGCAGCCCCCGCAGCAACAACAAAACAAAGGCAATTGGAAGTGCAGCCTAACGGGAGTTGCTCCAGCATATAGAGTTTATAATCCAAATATAAGTATCCATTTATCGGGAGTTAATCCACCATGGCGGATCCAGAGCGACAGAGCCTGATCAACAAGGACGACGGCAACGGCTACAATTCCGTGGACGCCGTGGACGAGGGTGCCGATAATCCGGGCAGCAACTCATCGGTGGCCACAAACGAGGACGGTGCGTATCGTTATTGTAAAGCCGGCCATTCAACCCGCATCCAATCAGCCGGGCGGCGCAATGGAAGCCCAACAAGTGTGCGGGCGCTCCACTTATCCGCATCTACCGCCGTGATTCCGAGTTGTCTGCTTGTCGTCTCCCTTGGCATTTTCACACTTCATCCAACTGAGTCATAAATGAGTAGTATGGCGGGGGGAGGGAAGGGGCAGCACAGGGAGAAAAACTGATTAGATAGGTGCTGCCCAAACTCCATCTAAATTATCTTGCATCAATATGATTCACCTTTATATTGATCTTAAAATAATACAAATTCAAGATGTATTTAATAGGGCCCAGTTTAATGGAGCTTGCTTTTTTTTTAACAACAAATTGCGGCCTACTAGACAAAATTCGGATTCACAGAAAGGATGATTAGTATAAAATTTTTGGTTTGGCCTAAATATCAATTTGGCCACGTACACCCAAAGAAAAAGGTGTAGTTTCATCTCGAACTCTTATTATTCATAATTTAAAGAGCTTCCAAAAATGTGAAGATCATTTTTCGGTGGTCAATGCCGGTATCGGCCAAGTATTCGCACCGTCTTTGTTATTGTTTATGCTAGGACGCCCATAATCAGCGTAAAAGCGTTCCCCACAGCTGTTTAATCAGCATCGATGTGGAGGTGTTTGTAAAGTGGTGGTTAAGCGGGGGCAGCCAAGTCCATGAGTCATCATGTGATTCGCTGCCTTATCGCAGTGGAGGGCGAAAATGAAGGCATTGAGGGTCTGCGATGAGCAGCGGTTCCATTGTTTACCAAGGAACCTGATCTGCAGCTCAGAAAAAACTTACCCATATCATCAATATACTCTATAAGAGTTTTGTTGCAAGGGCTTCACGCCTTTCCAGGTTCCCAATAAATTTGGTAAAATTCGACAGAAAGAAATTATGTATGAAAAGATTTATCAAAATAATCAATCTTAAATCGGTTCGGTAAACTTTGCTTAATTAACCAATACTTTCCAGCCAATATGCTATGATTTTATATGCTCCACTTTATATGATCCACTGAAGAGTGTGTGCGATGGCTGTTTTCATTTCTAAACGTCTTGCACAAAGTTCGAACTTGTTTTGATCGAGAGACGAGAACCACAACTGCGGTCTAGCTGCACTAGTTTAATGATGGGACAGGAAAGTTGCATTCATAAAGCCAAAACATTGACCCATTTGGTTTATCGCAGCTTTCCAGAGCCACACACTATCTGAAAATGCAGTTCTCACTCCCTCCGCGAACCAATCTCCGCCAGATGAGCAGTGTGGTTGAGGGAACTCTGCTGTCGAGATGTATTTATTCTACACGAAAGGTCTTGGCATTGAAGGGCATAGGTCTACATCTTATTATAAGTAGTCATTAATACTTTGCAATGGAATTTTAGGCAATGGCGCACCGACGGCAGTGCCTTGCATTGGACCCGATGAGCTGCCGCCGCCGTATCAGCAGAGCACCAACACCGGAGGCGTGCCGATGGTCACCTGTCGGGTATGTCAACACATGATTGACATCACCACGAAGCGGGAGCAGCACGTGGTCAAGTGCACCCACTGCAATGAGGCTACTGTGAGTAATTCGAACAATATTCTTCGATTCCAATTGTAATTTAATACTCCTTTGGCGATACACAGCCCATTCGGAACGCTCCACCGGGCAAGAAGTACGTTCGCTGCCCATGCAACTGTTTGTTAATCTGCAAGAGCTCGTCGCAGCGGATCGCTTGTCCAAGGCCCAATTGCAAGAGGATCATCAACCTGGCCCCAAGTCCCGTCACCCCGCCCGTGCCAACCATGCCGGGCATGTGCCGCGTCACTTGTGGCCATTGTTCGGACACGTTTTTGGTGAGTTATTATTTGAAATCACTTCAGCAGAAGTCTTCTTATGCTTGCTTTTACAGTTCAACACGTATCACAACGCCTTGGCCCGGTGTCCACACTGCAGGAAGGTCTCATCGGTGGGCTCGCGCTTTGCCAACAGCCGCGGCGTGTTGTTCGCCATCGTGGCGCTGCTGTTCCTCATCACAGGCATCGGTGTAACCATCGGCACATACTCGATTGCTTCGGTAAGCCAACTCGAGAAAGGGAAAACAAAAATAAACCCATTTAACTCAAGCTGAAGTATGTGATTTTCTAAACCCATATTTGTTTCCCGTTTTTTTTTTTTTAGAATCACGGAGGCATGTACTTCCTCTATGTGGCGCTGTTCGTGATTTCGGGGTGCATGCTGGCCCGGTCCGCCTACTATTTCCGCCTTAAAGTGAGCGCCATCGATGGGCCAATGTAAAGCTAAAGCACGGGTCCCGTGGCAAGGAAGAAAGTGCATTGTTTTATTTTTATATATATATTATTCATATATATCATTCCTTTTGATATTAAATTTAAAACTAAACACAAGCAGCCAATTTGCAGACGGAACATATGAACATTTCTCCAGCAGTCCAGCTACAAAAAACTCTTCGTTTCGAGCAAAACTAATAGCAAACATAGCTAAATTTACGAAAGGAGGTCCCCGTTTAAAGTGATTTTGAAAAGCATAATTAGGATAGTAAGGCCGTAACTAACTAAACACTATACTAAAAGCAAATATTTCAAGTGTCGCAGAAGCAGCTACCTTTAAAGTGCTAAATGAGGAACCCAGATCTGTAGGCAGTCATTAGTTATTAGACCAGCGATCGATCAATCCACAGTGCATCTCATTTTTAGAATCGTCAGGCTCCATTTTAAAGATTGTACAGTTTCGTTGTTTAAGTGTCCGATTTGTTATCCGTTCGTGCGTGTATTAACTATTTCTGCAACTATTTCGGTATTTATACATTACGTATTCGTTGATACGCTTTTGATTTTTGTGTTGCCTAGAATTTATCCAATGCACTTTTCTCAGTTCGCGCCAAAGCAAACGAAAGCGTTTTGTTTCTTGGCGTTAGAAATAATTTGAAGGGTATGCTAATAGTGCTGATGAAGGTACATACATACGCGCATATATACCATACATACATAATTATAATGAAAATAAACAAAGCAACACTTCTTGAACAACAGAGAACAAGCAACGCTCATGCAGATCCAAAAAAAAAAAACAAACGAAAAACAATTTAGACAGCAACTGCTAAACTGCAAAATTGCATATATATATATGATTAAAAGGAACGGTTTACTTTTGAAATATATATATACAACATTTATATTTAGTACATTATAAATTAGCATACATACACTGTAAATAAAAAGAAATAAAACCACAAGCGCCATTGACTTTTGACATTTGACAAGGCTACGAAACTCGTAGAGTGCCTTGAACTTGACATCAGACATCGATTGGACAATTCGATTTCATTTTTAAAGTTTATCTCTGGACCAAAATGTCATCCTTGGCTCCTTGTTTTACTGTGGGCTCTATAGTGCGCTGCAAAACATGTTTTGGCGAAAACTTTTCGGGAGAGGTAAATTTAAATATTGTTTGAATACATATTTCTTCCCACATTACATAATACTCTCGCTTCCCCAGGTGGTCGCATTCGATCTGGGCGTGAAAATGCTGATGATGAAGTGTCCATCGAGCAAAGGCGGTGGTGACGAACAGACCATTTGCAACCTGACCATTGTGAACTTATCCCTGTGCGTGGACATCGAAATAATGAAGGAAATGCTGCCCTTGAATGATGTTCAGCCCCCAGAACCGATCAACATCCCCATGGTAGAATCTCTATATACATACATATTGAAGACCCCTCACTCACCATTTCCGATTGTAGATCCGAGAACGATTCCGATACGCAACCGAACATCGTACCCGTTCCTGCCGGAGCTATCATCCCAATGCTTCGCCCTTCGGTCAAGCTCTGTTTAGGCTGTTGGTCAAGCGTTTCGGCGATCCCGCGATCAACTGGCAGAGCCAGGGCGACCATGTGGCGATCAATATACTGCATCAGGTGGTCATCGAAGCGCCGTATGCCACGGAGAATATCAGATACCAGGGGTGGGATCCCAAACTGGCGATATACGTCAAAGGGGTAGTGGAGGACTTTCGCAGTAAACAATTCTAAAACGACGCCCGTGCCCATGGCAACAGTTGTCTAGATAGCCTCCAACTCTGTACGTTTTGTTTATCAACAAAGCAATTCAAAATACACATTTTGCCTCGACACCCACACAGATCACTACTCTTTATCTGCCAATGGAAACCATTCTCAATTGTACACATTCGATTTAATGCACTGCTAAACCAAAACACACCATGGCCGATGATGAGGATAAACCAAAGAAGCACACGTTGGACACCCTGTTCATGGTGTATGCCAATTTCCAGGTACGATGAGACAGTTGATTGCATTAGATTTTCATCAATGAATCACTAAATGGCAGGTTATACCCACCGACATCGAGAACGAGGTCTTCGACTCCATACTCCTATCGCAACTGGACGCCTGGCTGGAGCAGGCTAAGCTCATGCCCAATCCCATAACTCGAACTCAAACTGGTCTTATTTACATGCGATACAAGTGCGTACAACTGCTCGAATCATATTAATCCCATACATAATCACTCTTCATCAAACATGTACTGGCTCTAGGAAATGGAGATTGGAGTACGAGGACTTTCTGGAGGTTCTAAGCAACTTGGCCTCCGATAACAACCTGCAAATAGACGACATGAAGCAAATAATGATCGATGCCGGAGTCCCGAACGGTGCCGATGTGGTCATAGTCGTCAAGTAGACTGCATCATCACTGCCTTTTATTTATATACATAAAAAATGCGCACAACAAATTATTAATAGTAACAATTGCATAAAGGAGTAATTTTGATTAGTTAAATTGTTCACAAAAATTATAGTACAGTATAAAAGCTTTTAACAAGGACCCTCCAAGCCCAATTGGTTAATTTTAGTTAGTTCAACACTTATTTCGACGTAGAGGGTGCTCAGGGTATGTTTTGAGATTGCTGATCAGAAAACTAAATAAACATTATACGGGAGTACATATTATGAATAGACTGCTATTTTCATATTCTGCTTAAGCTAATAATTATTCGATGAGTGAATGGATTGGCTTGTTCCTTTCGCGTTGCTTCCTGATAACAATGACAACGTCTTTTTCGGGTAACTAAGTTTGGCTGGACTTATTTGTAGCACCTGGGCAAATATGTGATGGGCTGCTCAGAGCTAACGACGTTACAAAAATACATGCTTATTCATTCTGTATATCTAATAAATATTGTTAATGCGTTCTAATGGCTTTCCGGGTGTCTCGTAGCGAAAGGCAGGGTAAGGTAATAATGCACTGTTCACTTTGTACTAGTAAGTTTCCGGCTCTTGAGGTGCATGGAGCGCATTTTTTTATTGATGATTGCTCTTAGTCATCCAGTTGCTCAGTCTATAGGTTTCATCTATAGCTTTCATTGTACAAATTGTGTATGCGGGTTTTATACTGTTTATCGTGCATAGCAACCTCGCCATTCCAAGGCCACTCCAATTTCGCCACATGATTTGTATTTCCGGATTTGATCATATAGATAAGATGCTCTTGTTGGCTTAGTGAGTGTATCTCTTTTCATCGCCGGGCCGCATCGTCATGGATATGTGTGTGTTTTGCTTTGATCTTTTGAATGCATGAATAATATAATGCACAGGTAGATTAAGTATACGTGGCACTTAGGATTAGATTAGTAGCAATTGCAAGTAATTTAAGAGTAAATTGTTCGCTCCAGCCAGTCGTCCAAGTTGAAGAAGGCCGTGTCCGAGTTATCCGTGTCCCGTTCACGGAACATCTCGATGAATGTCCTCACCTTGATGGCACACATCAAGAAGTCGTCGAATGGTATTTGTCCCTCTCGCGATCCGTAGCGATGGGCCAGGGCATTCAGGAGCCGGTTGTTCAGATGGTAACCAGCTGAATTGAGCGCTCCGCGCAGATGGAATCCATCAATACTGCCAGTGCGACGGGGGTCATATAGTCTGAAGACCGCCCGCCACTTGGCAATATCGGTAAGCAGAGCTTCGAACTCCTCGAAACCAAGGCGACCGGAGCGATCCTTGTCCAGCATGGCCACCATCGAACGCACGGCATCCTTAGAGAAGCCATCAGTGCCCACCATAACATCGCGCATAGAATGGTCCAGGATGCGCTTCAGCTCCTGCCAGTCCACTTCCTCATCGCTGCCAGCCACGCTGTCGAACAGGCGACGCAGTGCAATGCGCTGCGGATCATCCTCCTCCTTTGGAGTTGGTGGCGGCAGAGACGGAGCAATGCGGTCGTCGGTCTCGCCAAAGCCAACCTCATCGTCGTTCTCCTCCATGTTGTTCCTCGATTCCGAGAAGACGCGAATAATGAACTCGCCCTCCTCATTCGGATCGAAGGTTGATGGGACAATCAGATAGTGGCCAGGTGGCAACTTAAACCTAGCGCAGACCTCGCGCGTGTTGATAAAATGTGGTGAACGGGCCACCGAAGCTCGGTACTTAAAGAAGTTCAGCCCTTGGGGTTTCACTTGCATGTCACGGTCTGTGAGGTGATAAATAGCAAATCCGATGGTCAGGCAGTCGATGCCCACGTTGCGCTTGCTACGTCGGTTCTTCTGCATTAGGGCCACAATAGCCGTGCACTTGCCATCATCATCCTCGTCGTCGGGATCCTCCAGCGATATGATATACTGCGGGTTGTGCCAGAAGGTCTCCAGGAAGTTTCTGCAACCTCCGGCTGTTACGCCCGATGTCCACTCACCCTCGAACATGGACATTTCCCACTTGCGACGGGAGCTGTGCTGCTGATCCTCAGTCAGCGAGTCGGGCGATAAGTTACATATCTCCACGCGATCAAAGTGATTGAGGAAGTCCTGGAAGGACATCCAGAACTCGCCGTCCCTATCGAAATTCAGGCCAATCTCTTCCTTCGTGTGCTCTGGGATGAATCTCCACTCAGGCGAGCTGTCACTCCACGGACCGCTCCACTCGGCATCGTTGCCCCATGGATTACGCATACGTATCATGGGCAACTTTCCCTGACGATTCGGCGTCGAGATGTCCATTAGGCATACTTTGGTAATGGAGTAGGCATGACCGCGGATCAATCCTTGTGGCGTCTCCGCTTCCAGAACATGTGGATCCGGCTCCAAGGAGCAGCCCATCATCGAGCCACGCTCGGCGGCCTTCATCATGATGCTGAATAGATTTGGGGGAGCCTCCTTGATGTCATACCACTCGGTGACGCCGCCAGTGAAGTCCTCCATGGCCTCGCACGTGGTGCCGCCTATGGAATGAAAGTATTTAAATTTCAGATTCAACAAAGTTCTAACCGCAATATGTGCCACATCAGTTCTTTTTTCTAGGAACCTATGATAAGCATAGTGAATTTTTAAAAACTTAAAATAAATTTCGGAATACCACAATGCTTATACGCTTCCGCTGATAATATTTCACTTCTTACCCTTGAGCGCCTCATAAGATCCATGGAGCTTTGCGTAAGCCTTCTCCAGCAGGGCGCTCCAAAACTCATTCTTCTCCGTAGAGTGCATGTAGATTAGCTCGCCATTATAGGTGGGCAGTCGGTCGTCAATGACCACTTCGACCCACTTGCCGTACTGCCAGAACTTGAAGTGGAAGATTCCAGCGTAGTTCTCCTGGAAGTCCTGATCCGGCGGAATCACCCTGAAGAAGAGCGTCGAATCCTGCGTCAGATTGGCAGCTGCAGCCAGCAGCCAGCTGTGAACGATTGCATCATTTCTGAGATTTTGTTAATTTATGTGGGAATGTGTTTTGACTTACCAATCGCCAAGTTCTCCTTGTTGCACATCGAACCGTGAATAGCCCTCCACGAAGAACTGCGGATCATCGACGATGTCACCAGGACGCAGCCACTCGTAATAGCGATCCGGTCGCCGTGAGTACATCAGCGAAGCGTTGGTGGCCGGAAAATCGGGATCCTCGAACATGGTTCCATTGGCCACGCAGTCGGCGCGCAGTGATTGGAAATCGCCTTTGCTCTGGCTGTTCTGCCGGGTACTAGTTGCCTTGCGACCCATCCAAAACATGTTCTGGTTCTCGGGCACCTTCACGCTGGTGAAGCTTAGCTCGGCCACGCCGACGGAAGGTTCCTCCTCCTGGGTTGGAGCACTGGCCGGTGGCGGAGCCGAGGGATATGGCAGTGCTGGGAATCCAGCACTGTGCTGCGGAGCGGGACTAGTTGGCATGGGAGCGTACGGCATTGGCATACTGGGCAAACCGGGCATGGCAGATGGGTATGGTGCAAGCGGTGCAGCCGGATAGGGAAGATTGGGCTGCGGCATGCCAGTTGGATAGGGCATACCGGTTGGATAGGGTGCCATTGGCGCATTGGGGTACGGCAGAGATGATACGTTGGCTGATGGCAAACTGGGATAAAGTCCTGCTCCCGGGTATGGCGTAGCACTTGGATATGGTGCGGGCGCTGAGGGAGCTCCTGGCACGGGCATTCCCATACCCATGCCCATTGCGGGTCCCGCGTACGAGGCATTCTGGGCATGAGTCGTTTGCTTCACCACATATGGCATCCCGCCCACGGATTCGGATGATGGATAGGGCAACGAGGGGTAGAGACCCGCCGTGGGCTTGGGGGCTGCTCCTTCGTTCCCGCCGCTGACTTCATTCTTGCTGTAGCCCAAGGCCGCCAAATTGACAAGGCCAATGCCACTGGCATGATAATTCTTGGGGTAATTATCAATGCCGTACATTTTCACTGGTTTTTCGATGTGCTTTTCCTGTTCCACGCACTGGTTTTCTTCTAAGTCTACGAACTAATGGCGTTGTAAATCGGCTAAAACTACGGAACTGAATGATATCCAGATGTTGATTAACTCGCTGCCGTGGTCAAACTGCTGACTCGCTGGGAATTGTACGCTTTAAATGGGAGAAATATCCAAATTTAACTTTCTCGGTAAATGATTCATAATCTTTAACCCTTATGCGTGCTGTATACATTTTTGTATATAAAACTGCAAACCTAAAAGTAAAAGGCTGAATGAAATACTTATAGCATTCTTATTAATTTGTTAGCTTAAAAAGAGTTATAGATATATTATATTTGTTTCAATAACCAGACTCAATACAAAGAAATTTTGTTTTTTTTTATAAATTTACCCTCCTAAAAAAGAGTTGTTACCTTATCTTGGAAATATTTGAAGAAAACTAGAATTTAGGTAGTCTATATTTGCTTCCGAAAGTAAGCAATTGAGTAAGGGTCAATATTAGGGGCATAACGCGACATATGGGTTAAACAAGGCAATCAGGGCTGCACTACCATTCAGAGTTGTTGATAATATATCAATATATCGATATTTTTTTCTGAAAATTTTATATTTATATCGTGATATTGTTTTTGACCAAATATCGAATTCCCTTCGGTCACTCTGATTTCCAAAGCGATACCTGGTAAAAGTGATCATGTTAAAATTACCATAAGGTACCTGATCACTCCGGGTAGCTCAGTGCTTTCAGAGCGGTTGGCGTCCGCTATAAAATGTGTAGTCTGTGACGCACAAAGCCGAATGACTGACACACACACACATATATATATATATATATATATATACATATACATGCATATACATACATACATACATACATACATACATACATACATACATACATACATACATACATACATACATACATACATACATACATACATACATACATACATACATACATACATACATACATACATACATACATACATACATACATACATACATACATACATACATACATACACTACACATACACATACACTCACTGCTCGACCGGTAAGATAGATTACTTGCAATATTTTTTGACCCTAAAGTAGAAGACATGCCTTACAGTTCTCGCTAGAACTAGTTGGGAATTATAGGGCTACAAGAAAATATGTTCCCTAAACATATATTAAAAGCGGCAATAACTCTGTGTTCAGACAGTAAGTTAAACATTCTTCAGGCTTTATTTAAGACAATTTTACTACTTTGTGC